TGTGTGCGTGCGTGCATGGCCAGCTCAGCCCACCAGGGGGCGGGGCTGGCTGGCATGTGGTGCTGGGGGATTGAACTGCGGTCCCTGTGCTTTGCTTTGCTCAAGCTTGTTCTAAGTAGGTGCTTTAGACCACTGAGCCATCTCACCAGCCCCCCTGCTTGTCTTAATAGATTTTGTTTACTTAAATTATTTTATAGGTTTGTGTGTGTGTGAGTGTGTGTGTGTGTGTGTGTGTGTGTGTCTGTGTTTCTGTCTCATGGCCTATAATGACAATATGTACAAATGTGGACAATCATCTTGATTCCAGGGGAGGGACTTGGATTTTGAGTTCCTTTTGTTGGCTCTGCGACCTAGTCTGTGCTCCAGAGACTGCGCTGGGTGTTGAAAGCAAGAGACCGAATGTCTGTATTTCACAGTAGTAACCTCTCAGCTAAATGTAGTAGGGTTATGGGTGGGCTCTGAAAGGCGTCTTGTCCTGTGTATTGTACTGGAAGGATGCCATGACAGGGTTTCCTTGTGGGAAGCACGGAATATACTAGAGTGAAAGACAATTGCAGAGTGGGAAAAAATTAGGAAATCTTAATTTTTTTTTTTTCTTTACATAGGCAGGAAACAGCGATGTCTTTAGAGGGGGGAGTGCAGGGGCATGTTTATTAACAGTTAATGGAAGAAAATTAATGCTAATTTATTCTTCATACACACCACGCAATTTGTTAGAAAAGTGAAAGAATAGTTTGAAATTCTTTGGTCAGTTGATGGATTCCTATGTTAGAGGCATAGAAATGAAACTCAACATTAAGCAGACAAATGCCCAAGCCCACAGGCTACATAAATGCTGAATAAAACCAGCTCTACAATGGAACTCTGAAAAGCGACGGGGTAAGAAGCCTAATGAATGATTGAATATGACCTTAGCAAAATCCCTGGAGTGTTGTTGAAAGATCATTCATTTCCAGCTTAGATGTCAAGATGGGCTCCAGTAACCAGAAAAAAAAGAGAGCCTGAGTTAGTACTTACTGAGTTTTAAAAATCTTTACAACATAGTGCATTAGATTAATCATTAAAAGGGTTTTTCTTGCTGAATTTTGAGCTGTCACTGTGTGGACATGTAATGTAGGCCCAGGGAAATCGAATTTTAAAAAGATAGGAATAATTCCCAAGACATGAATGTGTCAATATTCCTGCTTTTATGGAGCAGAACTTCAAAAACTGGGATGTGTAGGCTGGAAGAATATACTTTTGTCATGCTGATACTATTGTTAGACTTATAACCAAGCAATCAATTGTGCTTTAAAGTATTTGCAAATTACTTTCCC